TTTCCACCTTAAACAGAAAAAATACCTCAAAAGCAGCAAAAAATCTGCTCCAAAACAAAAAGCCACCTGTCCAGTGAAGTTCAGAAATCTTTCCCAGTGGAGGAAAGCCTGAAGGCTGAATTGAGTCCTAAGTCCTTCCAAAGGCGTGGACCTTCCATTTCATTTTGGATACTTGCACTGCACTGAGAAATTGGATAAAGGAAGAGTCTCGGGGTTCTTTCAGCTCTGAAATCCTATGGTTTTAGGAGTATCTTCCTTTGCTCCAAACTCTCAGTCTCTAGATCCAGAACAGAAAATAATTCACATTATGGTTTCAAAAGGAGCATAAGATAGAAAGGTAGACTTTGCAAGTCAAATTGTCCTGGGACACTGACTCCTAGAACTGATGCTAGCTCAGAGGTAAGAGAAAGCTACTTAATCTCTACTTGCCTCAGTTGTCTCTTCTGCAACCTGACAATAGTTACAGTTTTGACTTCATGGGATTGTTGTAAGGATTAAACTAGGGAATGAAGGTGACATGCTTGGAAGAGAGATGAGCACAAGAAAAGCAATCACAGCAACTCACAATAGAACTAGGGTTACTTACTATCATTTTCATTTTATGGGTGAGAGATTTTTAAGGCAGCTTAATTGAGAAGCATAGGGTCAACATAGCTAGTAAGCTGCAAACCCCAAACTGCGATGAATGATAAGTCCCATGCTATTTATATATCACGATGTTATGTCCTAGAAGCCTCAAGCCTCATGAATCTATGGGAATTCAGATTATCTAGTTACTAATCATGCTCTGACTCACATATGGGGAATGTGTTTTTATAAACATGAGTAAAGATTCTGCCTACGTGATACACATTTAATGCTGAGCCTCCATTTCTGGAGTCCTCAGCCACACAGTATTGTTGGAGTGGTGTTTATAGTAAGGCCACTGGGAAATTGTTGTGTTTGGATTTCTGCAACTTTGTACCTCCTAGGGCCTCAAAGTCCCTACAGAATTTTCTGACAACATTAGGGAAGGGATGGAGAGGCAGACTGTGGATCAATTTTTTTTCTTTTTTTATATATACTTTCTTTGGGTATGCTTCTGCAGTGGGGTTGCTGTGGGAAGGCTTGCAATAGACGACACTTCCCAGAGAACTGGGAAACTGCATCAAGAGAATTTCTCCTTTTGAGGTGTTAGTGGGGCTTTTGTTGTTTTCTGCAGAGGTGGAAGGAAACAGAAAATCAAGTACAGTGTGCCAAATCCTGTTCGGAACCA